GGGGGGGGGGGCGGGGAGAAGGGAGATGGGGCTTGTCTCCTTCAGGCCATCCATCTTCCTTCCCCATGAAATCTCTCCAGACGTTTTAGTACTGCTAAACCTTAATGAAGGGCAAGATGAATGTGATCCTCCAGACAGAGGTTTAAAAGCAAATTCACCTAAACTACTTTTGAAAACTATGAGTAGCTGACCAAACTACCACACCTTGGTAGAGTATAAAAGATGAGGACCATAACGGTAAATTTATATTTTATTTAATCATCTGGTCCTTGACTCAAAAACAAAGCTTTGGGAACATTAAATGAGGAGAGTGGCCCTTGGTCTAATATCCATAACGAACACATCTCTGTGATATTCTGGAGGCTACACAGCCTTACCTAGAGAACACCCAGTCATATTCTATGTACTACCCTCCACTCCTCCCAGCCCTCTCCCTGGGTGACGCAGTTTCAGGCAGTTACTTTATTCAGTACAGGGGCTCTCGGCCCTGGCTGCACACCCAAATCACTAGGGGGGCATCTGAAAACTCAGATGCCCAGGCTGCATCCCAGACGAACTAAGTCAGAGTCCCCAGGATTGGGAGATCAGGCACCTGTAATTTTTAAGCTCCCTAGATGATTTCAAGGAGCAGCCGGGGTGAAACTGCTGGTTCCTAGAAACCTGTCACCTCAACAGCTCTGACGTCGCACCATGCACCTGCAAACGGCTGCTCAAAGGTTGGGTTTTTTGAGCCAGTGTTCTTTGAAGGAAATGTTCCTCAACCCCCATCCTTAGAATCGGTGGGGGGACGGAGCTTGTTTAAAAACGCAGATTCCAGGGTGCTAACACTCAAGGCTCTGAACTTCCGGTGGTAGGGCCAGGTGAATTTTCTGCACACTAGGGGCTGAGAATCACTGTCCTGATCCTAAATTCCCACCAAGAGCTGCTTGTTAGTTCAATGAAGAATGACATTGTCTAATGTTGTAAATGTATTCTTATTTTAAATTTTACTAGATGACACTCTAATCTACGTAGACTTTTGGTAACTGCTTTAACTCAAAGGTTGGCTTGGGAATAGAAGCAAATAACGAGTAGCATAGGCCCATAAACTAGGGAGAATCTAAGGAGGCAGCTTGGGTGATGCTGGGTTCAGGAATCATATCATGTACAGAAGACTTAAGGAAATTGAAGATATTCTGCCTGAAGAAAGGAGAAGGTAGTAAGTTAGAGGTGAGAGGTGGCCATGAATATATTAGTTGCCTCAAGAAATTGCAAGAGGAAGTAGAGTTGTTCACTACAGTTTTGGAGAGTAGAATAGGAAATAAGTGGAAATTAAAGGAAGGCAGATTTTATCAGTATCAAGAAGAGTTCTGAGTGATCCAGTATGGAAATGGGCTTCCATGTTGAACAGGTGAACACTCCATCGCTAAAAGTATTCCAGATGAGTCTAAATGACCTTCATCAAGTTACTGTTGAAGGCAGTTTAAGGTCCCTTTCAACTCTGTCTGTGATCATAATTATAAAAGAAGAGAAGAAATGCTAAGCTGTATCTAATTTTTTACACTGATTCTTTCTGCAGAAACCACTACCATTTATTTATTTAATAATCATTTATTGAAAACCTACTATGTGCAAGGCACTGTGCAAAGCTTTGGGGATACAGAGATGAGGAAGACACAGTCCTGCTCGCAAAGAGCTCACATTCTACAAGGGGGTCAGACAAGTTTTTAACAATTATAACACAGTACAATAAACGTAATGTAGGTATTCATGGAATACTGTGGGAGCTGAGAGGAGAAACATCTAACTCAGCTTGGGAGAAACTCAGAAAGGAAGCTGAGTATAAAAGAATGAAGAGGCGTTAGTAGACTGTACAAGTGCTGATGATAATGGGGAAGGGCATTCCATGCAGAGCAAATAGTACGTGCAAAGGCACCGAGGCTCACAAAAGCATCTGGGAACGGTGAGCCATTCACTGTGGCCCAAGACCAGCGTCTGTGCAAGAGTTGGGAGACAGATGAGGCTGAAGAGGAAAGCAAGGGCCAGATCATAAAGGACCTTGTATGCCATGCTAAAGATCTGGGACTTTATCCTGATGCTGGTGGGAAACCACTGGAGAAATTCAAGCGGGGAAGTGACATGCTCAGACTTGCAATTTAGAAAGATCATTCTTTTGTCAGTATGAAAGAAATACTGGCAGAGGATAAGACTGGAAGCAAGGAGGCCAGTTAAGACTCTTGCAGGTGTCCAGGCAAGAAATCACAAAGATCCAAACTAAGAGACAGCCATGGGAGAAGCAAGAAGAGGTGAGTTACATTTACCGAATGCCTAGTGGCTCAGGAGGTTAGAGCCGACAGACTGTGAAAGCCAAGACAGACAGGATATAAGGAGTGAGAGAGGGAAGAGTTTGGGAGGGCTGCTGAGTTTCTGGCTTGAGTAACTGGGTGGATATCAGTGCCACTGGCGGAGATCAGGAATACAGGAGAAGGAGCAGTTGTGGTGGTGGTGGGGGAAGAAGGGTGATGAGTTCAGTTTTGAAAATGATGAGACTGAGGTGCCGGTGGGATTTCCAGTTCATCTTCAACACGCATGAAAATACTCTTGCAATTCCAGTCCCTGAACTCTGCCGAGCAGAAAATGTCAATCATCTGGAAAGGGATTAAATCAACCCAGCCAAGTTAGAAATCATCCTTGCTGACTCCACTCGCCTTGAAATCAGAATGGAGTTCCAGGGAAACAATTGATATTCGTTTCCTTATTCCTCCTGTTTGAAACTCCTTTGTGGCAAAATCAGTAAACTTATCCTCACTGCATGTGCAAGCTGAAATGGTCACTTTTCATCAAGGAAACAATGGTTCTTGGTTGTCAGTGCAGATGGCTTTTCTTATTAAAGCTCTTCTCCATAACCCTCTTTAAAGACCCTTAATGGATTTCCATACTTCTAAATATCATATCTGTATACTTCTTAATACTACACACCCTTCACACCTTCTCAGTTCATTCCCCGAACAAGCCATTTAATTTGCAGACATTAAAACTTTTTAAATTTAAATCACCTTTGAAAATGTAAATTCTATCTTTCTTGAAGGAAAGACCAACAATATCTAAAGATTAGAAATGATGTCATTCAATTTATACAAAACTGAGTAATCTCCCAAGTAGTTTTCATTTGCTAGGATTCCCTTAATTCTTTAATTCTTTTAGACCTCATGCATTTTTTTTTAGGGGAAGTGCTGAGAAGTTTTGTGTCTGTGAAATAGGCAAGGCATGCAGTAACAAACAAGCTACACTTTCTCCTTCTGACCCTCAACCCTTGATCTCACTGATGATAATGAAAATTAAACAGTATGCAAAGGATCAATACAAGCACGTCCACTTCTACCACAACACTCCCGTTTCTCTTATGCTGCTTCTCTTGACTTGCCCTGCCCCTTGCCTGCGGCCTCCCCCTTGGCAAATACTCACAGCTTTTGCAAAGACCCCCATGAGTTCCGGGAACTGATGTGTCAGGAGGGCCAGCATGGCTGTGAAGGAACACAATCCAGCAGTAAAGAGGATAAAGAAGGGAAGCTCCTTTTTTGGGTAAACTGAGACTTCATGGAAAGCTGTGGAGAAGATCAAAAGGGAAGTGTTAGGGCTGCAGTAAAATGCATTCTCAGGGAATTTCTGTAGGTGGGACTGACTCTTCAGAGCTTTGGCTCAAGCCTGCTGGAAATGAAAAAGGTAGGGCCCTGGAACAAACAAGAGCAAACATTTCAGCCAGCCTTTGGTGGCCTATCTGCTTCTCCCAAGTCCACGTTCAACCTTCAGAACTCTATCTAGGGCATGACAGGGCTAATCTGGGGATGTCACACACTCATGGGCAGAGACAGTAACACTATCTATGCCTAATATACAGTATTTCTTTCGCAAAAGCAAACACAAATAAAACAAAACTTTATTCAAATTATAAAGCACATGTTCATTGAACAAAACCTGGAAAATCCAAAGTCAAGTATACTGAAAAAAAAATCCTCTCTCTAGGTTTTCACTTTTCCTGTAATTTTTAAATCATTGTGATAGGGTGATATTAGTGTATCTTGTATTTTTTCCTGGTACAATCTAACTATGTCAGTGGAGGGTGCCACCCTGATAGAGAGACATCCAGCGAGGACCATCCATCCATCAATAATGGGAGATTTTAGAGCCTTTCATAACTTTTAAATTTCGAGTGGCCCGCACAGAGAGAAAAGCAACTAAGGCTGGCCCAGTGGAGGGGAGCCGTGAGGCTGTGTGTGAGCTACACTGCCACTCAAACCAAAAGATTCGAGGGGCTCCATCTTCCTCAGGAAATCCAAGGTCTCAAGCCTTTCCTCGACCTTTCAGCTCTAAGCAGTAATCCACTCGGCTGAAACTGAGGGTGTAGAGGGCCAAGGAGGGACAAAGCACAAACGAGCACATGCACCTGAATCCAGGGATGTCAACCTGCTAGGATTCTTCATGGGTGGACGTGTGCTCAGGACCACCGTGGACACTACACCACTCACGTGCAGCACGCAGGTAACATGTAAAGCCACCTACCCCCATCCCATCCTCACCCTCAGCACCCAACGATTTTGAGGGGAGATCAGACTTGAACCACTGCATTCAAATAAATAAAAGTGAGCCATAGTTTTCTATTCCAGGACTGTAAAGATTATTCCTAGACAGTTTCTTTTAAGAATTGTAATCTTGTTCTAATAGTGAATCTATCCCCATGGAAACACGATTGGACTCAATTAAAACATTTTAAAAGTGTACTTTTCAGAAAACTGCCTTTCTTACCAGAAACCGTAAATGTTAACAAGGATTTCCCTGAAGGGGGAGTCAAAAGGTAAAGCATGGGCCCATCACAGGGATTTCTGAAATCAAATCTAATGCAGAGTGAGGCACTCGACGCTTTTCCACAATAAACTCAGGTGGTGAGGAACCACACCCCTCTGAGGTCTCCCAGCTCCCGAGGTAACATGTCTCCCCGTGGGTCTGTCCTGCAAAGAAATGAGAGAGCTGCCTCCTGCTCTTTTAATCTGAGACGGCAGCCTTGTTTTGCACCCACTACGTTGGAGATTTACGACCAGCTCAAAAACGTGGGCATTAGACAATCTGCCAGCACTCAGGGCTCCACAGTTATACTGGCCCTCCTGGCAAAGCATTTAAATATGTTACAGCTATGAGAAGTGACGTAGCTGGGACTGGTGCAGGGTGGGTGTGGCAGAAGAGAGGACGGGGAAGAGAGAGGAGCCAAGATTTGGAGCGTATTATCTGAGGGAGGAAAGTATGTCTTAAGTCAGGGCCACATGAACAGCCTGGACATGCTCTTCATACACAGTATAATTTGATAATAACTATTTAGCCGGAATTGTCAAAACAATGTTGCATTACAGTAAACCAAATCATACTTTCCACGTGTGGTATGGGCGCCCCGACTGCTAGCTTGTAAGGCCCTCGAGGGCAGGGTTTGCGCGCCGCCTGCTGTATACAGTGTTGAGGCTGCACGTGTGCCCTGCACATGTTACACCAGCTCACTGTGCGCCATCCGTGAGATGCTCACGGGAAATCCCACCGGCCAAGAGCACCGCATCACCGCAGAGGGCAGCCCCATCCTGCCCACGACTGGCCACAATGCCAGCGTCCCGGTGCCACCCTCCCACCCATGGCTCATCTGCAGCTCCCTCTGAAGCCAGTGCCTCCCCTCCAGACTCCGGTCTGTGCGGACTGCCTCTGACCAGAGGGAGAGCCCAGGCCGAGCCCCGCACAGTGGATCAGCCCAGCAAGGGGCATCTGCCCCAAACTAGGGGTCTCTGCGCTCAGACCAACCAGTACATGATGGCTCTTCATCTACATTTCAGACCTGGGGGGGTCTTTCCCTCTGATGAATCTGGAGAGACGTGGAGAAGCAGGAAGCCAAACCTACACACATAACTCACTTGAATGCTTGTGCTATCAAATGAGGACAGCGTTTGGGAGAAGGGTGATAAAAGACAAGGAACATCGTAAACATTCATCATTTCCACCTCTTCCCATCCCAGTCCTTGGCACACCACCCTCACCAGCCAAAGGGAGGATTATGGAGGGGAGACTCACATGGAAGCAGCTCACGATCTGCTGTTTCTGTACAGATGGGATAAGGATAAAATAGATGCCCCTTTTCCAAGGGATAAGGGATCATCCGAAAAGCTGCAAAGGAGAGACAATACGTTAGAGGTACAGTATTTGTCTCATAACTTCTCAACTTCACAAAGAGACTTTTGAGCATTTTTATAATGGTGAACACTTCTACAAATAGCTCCCATAAAGCAGGCAAGACTTACCCAAACTCTGAGTCATGTGCCAGATAAGCTGTCAGAGATGCATTATGAGGTATGCCTCACACATTAACCTCACACTATATATTCTGGGAGAACCTCACAAAACTGAGTGGGGATGGGGGTGCAGAGGAGTAGGGAAA